ATGTGGGGGCCTCATCATAGAAGATGTATCCCCCACTTCCCATCCCAGGAGGGAACTGCATCTTCTAAGATGGTAACTACCATCTGCAGTGTTTATATGTGCCTATGCTAAAAATAAATCTGTTGACAATTCATTGTCCATCTCTTTAGTCAAACACTATGTTATTAAAATTGATTAACTGGATTAAGGCAGCAATCCTACATACAGAAGCAGATCCCATTGAAATCAGGGTGCTTCACTGAGTACACCGTTTCAGCATTTTCCTGCAAAGCTGCACTCTGTGCCCTCGTTCCTGCCCCACTAAGCTAACTGGGACTCACTCTGAGTAAAAATGCATTTTTAAAAACTGCTTTTAGTTCCACATGACTAACAAAAAAATCTCCTGCTTTCCAGTATTTAGCACTATTAATCTATTATCACTTTCTTCCTGCAGAAGAGAACCATTCCTGCCAACTGAAGAAAACAAAACAAAAGTAAAATGAATAAATACATAAAAGTGCAATGGCATGCTTGCGGAGAGCCTCTCTGCGGCAGCTGCCCACAGGTGCCCCGTTAGTTGCTGAGCCTATGCTTCCGTTTGCACAGAAGAACTGGAACCAGAGCCAAGAAAGCTCCTGAAAGGAAACACGCACCGCTTCTTCTAGGAGGCTGCCTCCACACAGTAGGTGACAAAGCAGAAGTCACAGCTGCCAGCAGACCCTGGTGGCAGCCCACGCAAATGCTAAAAGTAGCAGGAGGTGGACAGGACTTAAGACAGGACTGCAGCTAGACAACAGCGGTCTTCAAAGGTGCTAGGAAGAAGTCTATATTAGGACCTCTTTGTCAGTTAAGTGAGGTTTCCAAGCATGTGACATTTTGAACTTGAGAAATCACTACTATCAGCCCTGTTTGTTTGCATTCTCCTTTCCCCTCCAAACAGAAGTCCAGAGTGGCTAACAACAGCATACAGAATCTCATACTGTCAAATAAAATATCAAAGGACAACTATGTGAAAAAGCATGCTGAGGAGCTTGGCAGGCAGAACTCTTGCACCCATCCTGTTTGAGGGATCCCATGGGCAGCTGGTTTGCTACCATGTAAACAGAATGCTGGACTGGAGGGACCATTGGGCTGATCCAGCGCAGCTTTTTAATGTTTTTGCATAACAAATATAGAAGAATAAACTATAAACAAATGTTCAGTTTGGAACCTAATCATCAAGTCTGTTCATCAGTAGAAAATTCTACTACATTAAGCAAAGAAGGGGATAATGAAATACAACCCACATTTTAATCAAGACAAAAATCCCCCCTGGAGCCAGCAGGGAAAAACAAACTAGATTTAATCCAATTAAAACAATAATGGTACAAAATATTCAGAACCCCCCATGTCACATGGAATTTCCCTCCTGTGTTCTTAATTGGTAAAAACCCTGACAACACCCATCTTCCCCAGAAAGCAGGATGTCTCAACAATGAAAATGTTCTTGAGGGAGGAACTGACATGCGCAGTCAGCAAGAGTACTGACTGTTATCGATGGTCTGGCATTCCATTCTTTCATCTAAGCAGTTTACCACAAGCAAAAATGGCAACAAAAATAAGAACCAATGAATTTTATAGATACTGGAGGAGCAGTGGAAAGTCTCAGCATAAAACAGGCTGTAAGTTCTGAAAAGGCTGTGTAAATAAAAAGGTCCACATCAGGCAACCTTCCCTGAGCATGTCAACTCCAAGGTACCACAACCAAAAAGACCCTGTCTCCTGCAGCAACTTACTTCCAAAGGTAGGAGGACTCAGAGAAGAACCCCGATAATGATCTTGATACTCAACTCAGCCCTGAAACCCTGGTGATCCATTGCTGGCGGCCAGCAGTTTTATTGAGCTAGCTTGACCAAAGGATTGGTTGAGTATAAGGCAGCTTCCTAAGTTTCTAAAACTCTAAGTTTCTCTAAAAACTGATCTTCAAAAAGAAATCTTAGTAACATTCATACCTGATTATTTCCTTTAAAAGAATAAATTCCAGTTTAACTTTGCCTCAACTGTGCAGAGTAGTTCGCATGACGCATAGAGGAGTGTGACATGTTTATTTAAACTGCGGCAACAAATGCCTTATTTCCCCTTGCACAGGAACAGAGTCCATTATTAACACTTTTAAGGTCAGTCTTAAGGGTATCTGCTCTCCCCCAAAGCTCATCTTCCCCAGCAAGCGGGACCATCCCCATTGGCCATGTTGGCTGGGGGTGATGGGAGTTGCCATTCCACATATTCAGAGGACAGTGGGTTGAGGAAGACTGATATACTCTTTACCTCATTTATTCTTTGAACAACTGTGAAATAACTTGGGTACACTGAGGGACAGATTTATAGACAAAGATATTCCCTGGGGAGTAGCATCTGGATCACCCTTATAAAAACCCACCCCAACTTTGTCTTTGCAATTCTTTCCACTTCTACAACACAGGAGTCAAGACACATCAGACTGAGGTTTTTCTTTCTTATTTCTTTCACTTGTTCTTTTAGTGTGAGCTTTGCCAAAGTCCTTTGCACTTCAAGATCTGAGAAGAGTGTAGGCTGAGTATGTGGTAAGGGAAGGAAAGGATGTTATCATAAAGAAGAGTTGAGTGATTCATCTTTTCTAAAATCTGATCCTATATTTCAGATCTCAGTGTGCACTGCAGAGAAATGACATTTCATGGAAGAAATGGGATTTGAGAAAGGCCCAAGTTACAGCTACCTCTGGACTCTAGGCAGCTCCAAGACCTTGCCCGATTTCCTTTCTAGAGCTCTGATTTATAACCCCCTGAATGAGAGCTATGCATGCCTCTTAAACATGAGTGGTCCCTATTGTTCAGGGACTACTGCCGCTTTCTGCTTACTTTCCCTGATAAATTGTTTTTATCATTTTTATCATTTCATAAAAAGTAGAATAACCAAAAGGAAAATTATCGACCAGCTTTTGCCTTGTGGAAACATTTGAACGGTGCCTTTGTGAAATGTTAGAACTGCCATTTTGCAGGAGTTGGTTCTTTTTCTGGGTTTCTAAAATACGTGTGGGGGGTGCGTATGTTTGTTTACATCAACATTCAGGTACCTCACAGTGCATAAGCTAAACTGTATGGATTACAAGGTTCACTTTGAAGGGTTAACTCCAAAATTGTAGGATTCTTCCTCTTCACTGCTGCCCTGGAGAGTGCCTCAGAATTGGCTCCATCAAGTTTCCCAGTTTTGATTTTATCTTTTGCTCCAAGCAAGCAAGCTCCTTTGCTTTCAAATCATTTGTACTCCACCCTTCTTCCAAGGAACTCATGGTAGCAAACCTGGGCAACCCTGTCCTCCTGTCCTACCTTACAGCAAGCTGGTGAGGTAAGTTAGGCTGGCAGAAGGTCATTCCATGAGCTTTATGCCTCCAGGCTACATCCAACACACTGAGCACTGCACTGCCTGCTCACTTATCTACCAGAAACAAGAAAGGTTTATCCCTTTCCTTTCTTGCAGACTACAGAAAGGAGGAGAAGGAGCTACTCTGTGCCAAGCTGTCTGTAGAGCAAACCCTAAGTGTTCCCAAGGAGCAGTAGCTCTGTGTTTACCATAGAATCAGGCAGCTTTGTCTGTAAAACAAGATCTGCTGCTGCTTGGAAGCACCTCAGCCATTGCTTCTTCAAAGACAATTTGGTGCACGGCAGCAGCTCCTTCTCTCCAGACAAGTGAGGGAGGAAAGAGGAAGATGATGCAGTTTTAGATGCCAATTCTCTTTTGTCAGCTAATCGATGAGAAATTTTTCCTCCCGCTCAGATACTATTCAGCAAATTTCAATTCAATTTTCAAATTTCAGTCAATTTCCTCTTCCCTCATGAGGAAGATGGAATTGCCACCTCCTGACTTTAAAAAATTCTGATATCTGAGCCCAAGTGCCTTTTAGAATATGCAAAGTGCCACTTTGCTGTGCAGAACCAAATGTCATTGAGCATGTTCAACAGGCACTTCACATCAGACAATTAAAGTAGCATTCAAACATACATGGAAGAACATGCCTTTGAAACATGAAGAGTTTCTCCTCTAAAGGATATACAATTTTCTTTTAAAATAACAAACCTCAGAATAAGCAGAGAAATGACACATGCATCTCAACTGACCACAAAATTCCATCATCCCTGCCAGCTTTATAATTTGCTGATCTAGCAACTGGCCAAAAAGGAGAAATTCTGGTTGGACCTGCACAATTCTGGTTGATCGGACAACCATACTGACGGAAAACATGTGAGAATATGGCACCTCCTTGCACCAGCTTCTGAGACCACCGGTGAGATCAGCCTCCACAACGCCACCATTATTCAGCACTTACTACTTTCATATTATCATTTTTTCATGAGTGGGAACAAGCGCCCACATCCCTTGGCTTCACAAAGTCAGTTAAAATGGGCTAAAGGCAAGTAATCAATTTCAAGTGATTTGGAGCATGTCACATTGAAATTTCTTGCCCTTGCAAGCAATAATAGCTGATTCAGGGTAATGCTGAAATAACAACCTTCAAAACAGCCTTCATCAAAGATCCCCAAGACACAGCCTAGTCACAAATGCTACACCAGCTCCAGATCAAGCAGATCTTGGTTATTGCCAATTAATATCTGAAAGCACTCTTCTCCATGTATAGAGAGAATAAGGTTTTTTTTTTTTTTTTTTTAAGGAAGTCATCAACCTTCAGCTGAATAATGAAGTGTAATTCTGCAAGTATCCAAAATACAGCTCATGTTTCCAGAAAGACCTCATGGTATAAACTATTCAAGAACATATTCCAGATAATGTGCTATGCGGCCTTGTTCTGTTCTGTTCTATTCTATTAACACACAACTGAGACTGCACCATGAGTAATAGGATCAGCCAATTCCTTGGGAGCAATTAGGCCCAGGTTCATTCCTGATTGACACACCATCTGTGTTTCAGAATGAAGAAAAACCACTCCATTTACTGCACTCATATGCACCTTTGCACACATTATGCTGTTTTTAGACATGTGGAAGTACCTCTTCTGAAATATCAGCTGTTCCCATGCAGAGAAAACGGGATCACTTTTTCTGGATGAAAGCATATGGTTTTGGGACTGCATGATGCAAGAGGAGGCAATGTGACTGAATGTCATCTGGAAAACCTAAAAATCAGAGAAGGGAAAAAAAACTGTAATAAATAAAAGCTGTGGTGAAACATTTGCTTGTAGATCCAGACTTCATTGATCTGGAAGGCTGTATTGGCTTAGTTCGATTTCGTTTACTGCTGAAAAGACAATCAGGCTTTTGCATATTCATCAAACTAAAACTGAAAAACAAGTTACAAACAAAGGAATGAAACTAAGCAAAACATAAATAATTTAACAGATCATTAACAACTGATTGGTGTACTAGACATTATTAGATTATTAAATGAAGATAGCTCATTGACTGGTGTTACATGTGGAAATAAAGAATTTCCTCTTCCTTTGAACAAATTTAACATTGCAATATGACACAAAGCATTCCGTCTAAGACAATTAGAATTTTGTCTAGAGGGGAGTTTTCAACAGTAAGGGGATCAAGTATTGAATCCTCAATACAAATATAATAGGAATTCCAAAGAAAGTGGACCAAATCTTCTGCTTCTGACATCCAGTTGAACAACAACTATCCACTTTATTGTGGCTGTTATAGCATCCCTTAATGCTATAAGGGATGCTGGAGAATGCTGGAAGTTATGGAAAAATTTTCTGCCTAAACATGCATAGGATTGAGCCCTTAACTTCCATTAACTGCAAGGAGTTTATCAATCTCCATTTAGTTAAAAAGCCACCTAAAACTATAACAGCAGATGAAATACATTAATCAGGCAGGTTCCGCTATACAGAACTATGGAACTGAACTTGGCCACTGGGACAGCTGTAATGTGAAAAATCATGCTCAGATCAGATGTCTTTAGACTTCCAGACAAACACCATCAGAGTTCCTTGCAATCAAAAAGCCCATTGAAAGACCCAGTTCAGGAATAATTTTGCATGCCTTGGTGGTCTGTATTCTGTTACCAGGTTACCATGTTTTGAGCAGGGCAATAAGAAAGGCCTGTTGAAAAGCTATCTTAAGTCAAAAATAGATAACCATCTTCTGATCTTAAGTTCCCCCTTGGACCTCCAAGTTGACTTCCAACTTGGTTCACACATTATGTAACAGCAAAACCTGCATGTTCAACCAACCAAATATGTACCGAAGAACAAACTGAAGCTCTTTAACATGGATACCTACATCATACTTGGATTTCCAAACAGCTTTCACACTTTTCACTATTCTAGGCTGATGTCATAAAGGAGCTCTTGAAAACAAAATGCAACTTTTCAAAGGAAATGTGGGTATTTCAAGAGCCCATAATGGAGAAAAGAAGCTTGAAAGGAAGAGTAGAGCAAGCAGCTTCAGATGGGGTTCAAATTCATCACTGGCTTCAAATTTATGGACAGAGGCTTACATGGGATAAATAATTTAATGACATTACATATGTCAATTGGCTTAGCTAATAAGTTGTTTGTGATGGCCACTCCTAATGATGTGATTGATACAATTGCTGCTTCTTGCAGTAGTTTAAAATAGGCTATGCTTTCACCAAAAGGGGTGAAATCAATAGATGGGGTAAAAGATATGCACCCCCTTCCTCCATCAGGTTCTCTGCTGCCAATGTTCTCAGCAGTCCATCCACTCGACAACAGAGGCAGGTTGTTGTGCCCTCAGGCAGTGTTGGGAGCCATGGTGCACAGGCACCAGCCCTACTTTAGGGAAGCTAATGCAATCTGTTATTTTCCTTCAGGCTTCCTTGTAGCCTCTGAACTTAGATGTAATCTTCACAGTTGCTGGGGAGAGGAATACACTTTCCCAGCAACAATATCTTGTTCTCTGTTGTAATGCAAATTAATTTGGAGTGGCTGCATCTTGAATAGGCAGTTAAGATCCATTCACTTTACAAAAGGACCTGTTCCTAAGCCAGTGAAGATTTCCATCTGCTTGCAGTCTTAGATCCACTCTGGATGTGTGGTTACATTGGGACTGTCATGATGAGTGCCTGCACTTCAGAACTGCCCACAACACTGCTGGAAAGGAGTGTTTTGTACTGGCTGCTGAGCTGAGGCATCACAAGGCAGCCTCTAGAACCCCAGGATGAAAGAAGTGAAGTGAGTAACGCAGCCATCCCTACAAAAAGAAGCCACATCACTTTTCTCAAAACAATAATAATAAATAAATAAATAGCTAAACAAATGCAAGGTGTTGGCTTTGACCTTTAAAGCCTTAAGTGGCTGAGGTCTACAATACTTGACGGAGTGCTTCCCCAGTCACAATCTGCTCTGAACTTTACTTTGCTCCACTTCAGGAGCTTTGAGTACCAACCTCAAGGGAGGCTTGGGAGGTGGCAACAGGAGGGAGGACTTTGACTTCCCTACGGAGGCCTGCCTGGTGTCAACCTTGTCCTTAGTGCCAAGTTAAGACAGTCCTTCATGCTGAAGCTTTTAAGGATATGCAGGGATATCCAAGGGCTTTTGAGGATTACTCATGCCAGTTTTTTCTTTTTACAGGACTATTCTTCATGGTGTGTTCTTAGTTGTTCTCTTCTGTTTAAAACATTCACATATTTTATAAGATTTTATGGCATTTTACTCTACTGTACTGTTATAAACCACTCAGAGAGCTCCAGTTATTGGGTAGTATAGACATGGGATTAATTAATTTATAAACACTTAAGGTTGTTTTGATGGCTCAGGTGCACTAAAACTATCTGCACACTAAAAGGTAACTGATTCATATAAAAGGATCTCACATATGTAGAAACAATAGAGTCCTGTTGCACCTTAAAGACAAATAAAATTATTATGCTATTTGTTTTTGTGCACTAGTGACTCTAGCCCATGAAAGCTTATATCATAATTAATTGTTTAATCCTTAAGGTGTCACAGGATTCTTTGCAACAGCTTAAAGAGGGGAGCTCCCTGGTTATTGTTGCAATGGAAGGCACCTGAATAACTAAGGGTGCCTCCAGAGGAGGCTTTCCTATCATCACCCTGCCTCATTCATAGAATTTTTACAAGGAGTTCAGACACAGTCTTTTCCCATTAGTAAGCCTCCCACATTAGTTGCAAAATACCCTCCAATTTATAGTAACATAGAAACAGAGCGAGTCAGAAGGGGCCTCCCAGGCCATCCAGCCTGACCCCTGGCTCCAGGATAGTACTAGGATCTCTTCCTTCTTGAGGCACACGTAACCGGCTACGGAGATGCACGGGCTGCTCCATGTGCTGATGAAGGCTTTGCTTTTAGGCATGAAACCACGGATCACCTTAGAGCTGTGTCACCAGGACCCCTCCAGATGGGGTTTTAAGGTGCCATCAGCTTGTCTTGTTAGCAGGAGTTCCTGGACTGCCCACATGACATTGCTGGTCATCCTGTGTCATGCCATGTTTTCCCCCGACTTCTCCCATATTTTCTCATATTGAGAAAAACCCATTAATTATTTCCTTGCGTGCCATTATCCGTTACAAAAAGTGTGACTGTCTGATTTCAGGAGTATGCAGTGTTTTGCGGAGGCACAGCTGTGTGGCGTTTAAGGCAGTGGCGCTGGGGGCATGTTTGCATGGGGACCAGACAGCCACATTCTTTCTTTGCTCACTGTACCTTCCCAGCGCTGCTGCTCTTTCTTTCATTCCCCCTCCTCATCACACACCCATATTAGAAACAAAATAAACGGTGGTGTGTCTGTGAAGCAACTTAACAGTATTTGCAGAGTATTTGTATCTCCTCCTCCTCCTCCTCTCCTCCTGCTCCTCTCCTCCTCCTCTGAATGGATACTATTTTTTTTCTTTTTCAAATCCCCATGGAGGTAGAGGCTGAATGTAAAGGAAAAATCTGGTAGTGGCAGGGAAAATTTTAACTCTTCACTTCCAGAACTCCAAACTAGGCCAGTCTGCACTTACAAAGGAGTAAAAGCACAGCAATGAACCATGAGACTTCCAGAAGTGCAGAGTTCTGGAAAAGGAAAAGGAAATCCCATGTTGGCACAATTGGAGACAGCAGCAAAGGAAGGAAGAGCTTGGACTGCCCCTCTTCTTACTGGTATGGACAGAAGCTTGTAACATGCAGTAGCAATTTCCCTGACAGTGTGGGCAGTACATGGAATTTCTGCTTGCAGTTTTCAAAGGAAGTCAAATAATCCTTGGCCCTAGGAGCCTTCTATTGGAAGAGCCACCTAACTTACATAGTAAGGCTGGCCAGACCTGCTGCTAAGTGGACTCTCTCCTGTCTGTTGGACTCACAATTTCATATTGTGTGCTTACTGTGCTACCAGGAAAGTCAACACAGAGGTGGGCAGATGTTGCACAGCTTGGAAGTGTGTTTGAGATACAGTAAGACTCCACATTGTACATTTTGCCCAGAAAAAAGGAGTTTGCACCACTAAGAACTCACATATGAATATATTGTGCTCAGATGTATGCAACTAGATCTGTGCAGTGTAGGGCCACAAGGATGGTGGCCGGATTGCAGGGAAAGCCATATGAGGCGAGACTAGGTCTTTTCAGCCTGGAGGAGACTCCAAGGGGATCTGTTGGCAACATATAGGTATGTGAGGGGGTGTCACACAGAGGTGGGTAGAGACCTGTTCTACCCTGCAGAGGAGGGCAGGACACACTCCAACGGAGCAAAGCTCAGGGAACCAAGGTTCAATTTGGATGCCAGGAAGTACTTCCTGACAGTTAGGACCCCTAGAGTATGGAATGGGCTTCACAGGAGGTGGTTTAAGTCCCATCGGTGAGGGTGTTCAAGGATAGGCTAGACATGCACATGGTAGGCATGTCATGAGCAGAGCCAGCTAGAGCCAAGGGTCAGACTAGATGACCTCTTCTGACTCGCTATGTTTCTATGGTTCAACTAAGATTTATGTTGTTAAATAAACTGTACTAGAAAAGCAATTGAGATTGCACAAGAATGTCTGCTGGAACAAAAGGATAAACCACAGGCAAAGCTTATTTTATTCAGACAGGAATCTTATCCTGTGCCTTATGGTGGGCAGAAAATCAATAGACGCAGCTTCTCCCTCATTGGGCATCCTATGTAGGAAAAGCTTCACTAATTTTTGCGACAAACAACTAGTATA